CCCCAATGTATGTTTTTGGCTCCTTTGCCCAAGCTAATTGTAGCTAACTGCAGCTGCAAGGGTATTTTCCTGTGTCCTCTATCTGTTGTTGGTCTGCTTGTATACTTTGCAGCAGCACCATGTTTTTGTTATGACTTTGTAATTTGCAGTCAGGCATTGTGATGGCCCCAGTATTATTCTTTTTGCTTAAGATTACTTCAACTGTTTTGGTTCCTTTGTATTTGGAAACTCATTTTAGATTTTTTTCCAGTTCTGTGAAGAATGTCACTGGTGTGTGGATGGGATCAAGGTGAACCTATAGGTCACTTTTGGCAATGTGGCCATTTTAACAATGTTAATTCTGCTAATCCATGAACAAGGGAGGTCATTCCGTATTCTGTCTGCAATTTTTTCTTCAGTATTCTAAAATTTCCATGGTTGGTCTTTCATCTCCTTGGTTAGGTTGATGCCCAGTTGTAGCTTCCTCTCCCTCCCCCTTTACCTTCTCCCTCTCAGAGCTACTTTGAAGAGAATTGCTTTCTGGATTTCTTTCCCAACTGGTGTATAGAAAAAGCTGTTGATTTTTAATACTGATTTTTATTCCCTGCTGGTTTGTTCAATTTTCTCTCAGCTCTCAATGTCTTATGGAAAGGTTTTAAGAGTCCTCAAAGAATAGGACCATATCATCTGCAAACAAGGATAACTTGATTTCTCCTGCCTGATTGCTCCATCTAACACTTCAAGAATTATATTGAATAGACATGCTGAGGGAGGACATCCTTGCCATTCAGGATGGCAGCTGTGAGTTATGTATGGCCTCTAAAATACTGAAAGATGGTCCTTCATTGATCACCTAGAGTCTTCAGGGCTTTAATCATAAAGTGATGCCGAGTCATCCTTGCATCGCTGTTACGAAACCAACTTGACCATGGTGTATGATATTTTTTAATGTGTTGCTGAATTCGGTTTGCTAGTATTTTATTAAGGATTTTTACACCTATGTTATCATGGATACTGGTCTATAGTTTTTTTTGTTGTGTCCTTGTCCATTGTTGGTGTCCAGGTGATGTTGAGTTTGGACATGTTTCTTTCCTTTCCATTTCATGGAATACTTTGAGGAGCTCTGAGGTTCTTTTTTAAAGGTCTGATAAAACTCAGCAGTGATTCCATGTGGACCTGGGCTTTTCTTTATTGGAGACTTTTTATTACTGCTTCAAACTCATTGCCTGCTATGGATGTTTGGGTTTTTAAAAATCACCTTGGTTCAGTTTTATTAGGTCATGTGTCCAGAAATGTATCCATTTCTTCTAGGCTTTCCAATTTGTTAGGATCCTCTGGATTTCAGTGGTGTCAACAGCATCTGTCGTAACATCCCTTTTCTCATTTCTAATTGTATTGATTTGGGTCTTCTTTTGGTTTGGCTATAGGTTGACAATCTTGTTTTCTTTTCAGAGAACCAACTTTTTGCTTTGTTGATCCTATGTACTGTTCTTTTAGTCTCTATCTCACTCATTTTAGCTCTCTGTAAGTTTTTCCTTTCACTGGAGTTGATTTTGGTTTGTTCTTGTTTTTGTAAGACTTTGAGATGCTTCATTATTTGACATCTGATTTTTTAAGGTAGGCACTTAGAGCTGTAATTTCCTCTTAGAACTGCCTTTGCTCTATCCCAGATTTCTTTGTTTCCATTTTCTTCTCAAAATTTTAAAATTTCCTCAATGACCTACTCTGAAAAGTATATTATTATTAAATCTCCATGTGCTTGTATAGTTTCTGTGGTCATTCTTGCTATTGATTTCTAGTTTCTTTACATTACATTATGATCTAATAAGATGCAAGAAATTATTTCAATTTTTTATATTTGTTAAGGTTTGCTTTATGGCTAAGAATATGATCTATTTTTGAGGGCATCCAAACATGAGCTGCTCAGAAGAATGTACATTCTGTGGTTGCTTGATGGAGTATTCCATAGACATCTGTTCAGTCCACTGGATTGGTGTAGCTTAACTCTGTTGTTTCTTCATCGATTTGTTTGGACTACCTATCTATTGGTGACAGAGGACTATTGAAGTCACCCATTTATGTCAAGCGATGCTTGTTTTCTGAAATCAGGTGCACAAATGTCTGGTATATATGTATCTATAATTGTTTTATCTTCTTGGGGATTGTTCCCTTTACTAATATATGGTGGCTTTTTTTTGGTCTTGGCTACCTTTCACTTTCAGTCTGCACGTCTCTGCTTGAGGTATTTTTTTCAGACAGAATTGGGTCTTGTTTTTAATTCAATTCAATCTGACAGTATGTCTTTTAATTAGAGCATTTGAGACCATTTACATTTAGCGCTATTACAGAAAGGTATATAAAACCTTTCTAATGTTTGATTCCCTCCTAATTTTCAATAGCTTATCTACTCTTCCTCTTCTGTGTGCAGGATTCACTTAAGTATCTTCTACAAAGTGGGCTTGGTGGTCATGAATTTTTGTTTAGTTTACCCTTATCTTGGAAAGCCTTTATTTCTCCTTCAATTTTGAAGTGTAGCTTTGCTGGATATAGTAATCCAGGTTGGCAGATGATTTCACTCAGGGCTTGAAAATTCCACACCCTTCTGACCTTTACAGTTTTTGCAGAGAGGTCTAGAATTATTGTGATGGGTCTGCCTCTGTGAGTGAACAGGCATTTCTCTCTTGTAGCTTTCAAGATTCTGTCCTTGTTCTGTACTCTTGTCATTTTAACTGTAATGCGATGTGGGGAGGTTCTTTTCTGGTTGTGCCTGTCTTGAGTTCTAAGTGCCTCACGTATCTGGATGCCTGTATCAGTCTCAAGATCTGGAAATTTTTCTGTTATTTTATTAAACAGATCTTCTATGCCTTTCATACCATGTCCTCTTTTACACCAAAAATGTGTAAGTTTGGTTTGAGTTCTTGAATGTTTTGTTCATAATTTCTTGGATTTTTATTAGTGTCTGCATGCAGTAATTCCTCAGCCTTACCTTCAAGCGGTGATTTTTTAATTATTTATTTTTAAATGTTTTAGCATGTTAAGAAAAATTGTTCAGCAACTTCAATACATTACTTATCTGGTTAAAGATTAAGCTTTAGAGAGCAATGAACTGACAAATTAGAACAAATCAGAAGCAACACAAATTGCTCCTATAGAAGGGCACATCTTACCCTTTTGGTGTATGGCAACCATCAGAGGACGATCTTCTGGGTGCAAGTATGTTAGGATTGATGTCCCGATCAGATCCTGAGGTAGGTAACTCAGCAAAGGCACTGCTCTGGGATAGATACACAATGCAGGAAGTGTGGTATATTCATCAGGTTAATTTTATACTTTACATATTTTTAAAAATACTTCTTTGCAGAAGTCTTCAATAGTGATTATGCCCAAAGTAGGCTGTAAGCAGTGCAGGCTGTGAAAAGGTAACCCCACAATTGGTTTGTTTTGAGAAGAGAGTTTGGCTACCTATGTGCTGAGGTCAGAGTAACTTGCACCCATTCTGTTCCGAACAATTAAAACTTTAACTAGAAGGACAGTGTTCTAATTACAACCGTATAATTTTGTCTATTCTGTTCCTAATTTGATAATGCTCTCTTATCCTTTATACGCTTTGCTTACATTAATGTCCATAGAACTATACAACTGCACACTCTTGCATGTAGTCCCACCCTTGTACATAGCTCGCCTTTACTCCAATTGATTACTAATAAAAATGAGTGGCTTGGATGGACCAGCACCTTTGCTAATTAAGCATTGGCTGTCCTGGCTCCCTGCTTCTCTTAGTTCTTTTAGCTTTTTTCTTAGGCTTGTACTGTACACTGAACAGGTGACAAGAGCCTACTGTGGAGGCTTCAGGTAACATTTCAGGGGTTTCCAGTACTTCTTGGTCTGGGAATGTATGTTGCCATTTACTTGCCTAGCTTATCTGAGACCCTGGGTTAAACCCCCAACTACACACACATGCACACATGCCAAAAATAAACTAAATTTTAAATAAGAAAAACTTGCCATAAAGAAAAATAAACTTGAGCCATTTTCATGGAAATGAATGCATCTTGAGACCATAATGTTAATGAAATAAACACATAAGCTTCATTATGTATATGGCTTCTCTTACATGAGAAACCCAAAATAAAAATAAAGAGCAAAATAAAAGATAGATAATAGGAAGTAGGGACACAGATCTTTCTCAAAGGGGAAGAGGCTCAAATGATGGAAAGAGGGGGAAGGGAGGGGAAGGAGAGGTGAGTTAAGTAATTAAGATGTATTGTGTACATATGCACCAACTCCACTTAAGGAATGTAAACATTATGTACTACACATATGTACTAACATTTTTTAAAAATTAAGAAAAGGAGAAACTTTTACACGAAAGATTTTCATGAAAGCATTTACCAAAGAAACCATTTAACTTTCTGCCCTTTGGGGAAATGGTTATGCAATCTAATAAATCTTGGTGGTCATCTGGCATTTTGCATCAAAATCATCCAGGGAACACTTAAAAAAACAGATGCGTAGGCTCACTATAGGCTTAAATCAGAATCTCTAGAGGTAACACTAGAAGTCTATTTTGCTGCAAGTTCAGAAAAGTCCGATGTCCACCATTATGCTGTCATTTATAAAATCTATGAAGATCACATCAGAACACAGAAAAATGCTGATGTTAAGCGACTAGAGCAGGTTACAAATTAATATAGCATTCTTACAGCTTGAACTTCAGTGTCCCCCAGAGGCCATGTATTAAAGACCTGGTCTTCAGTCCAAGTGTTAAATGGATGAAACATTTAGTAGACAGAGCTTCATGGAAAGAAGTTAGGTCACTGGAAGCATCAGGCCCTGGCCCTTTCTTCTTTTATTCTATTTCCTGGTCACTATGAGATGAGCACCTCTGCTCTATTTTGTGCTCTCAGCATGATACTCTTCCCTGCCACAGGGATAAAGGTAATGTAGCCAGCAAACAATGGAAGAGAATCCTGCAACCACCAGTCAAAATAAACCTTTTTCCTTATGAGTTAACTCAAGTATTTTGTCATGGTAAAAGAAAACTAACACAGACACGATTAAAAACACCAAGGTACAATGTTGCCCTCAAATATTAAATAGACAGATAACCGTAGGTTCACAGGAAACTTATATGGTAAGACCAAGGACAATTTAGAAATATCGGAGTCCATAAACATTTTCTATGTATAAAAAGCCACACATATTAATAAAATAAATTTAAGCTATTTTCTGAATCATCCTTATAAATTTTATTCCTTTATACAGATTACATTATACAAAACAACTCACCATTTACCATTTGGTTTCAGGGTAACTATTTTTATTTATTTTTTTGGTACCGGGGAGTGAACTCAGGACCTTGTGCTTGTGAGGCAGGTGTTGGCACCACTGAGCTAGATCCCCAGCCCCAGAGTAACTATTTTTAAATAAACCCATTTTCCTATGTTAAGACTTTCAAAATCAAAATTAAAACCTATTATTGTTGTGACCAGGATTTTGACATTTGTTTACACTTATGTGTGGCCCAGTGTACTGGTTCGCAGATACTCAAATTTCATGAATAAGTGAAATTTTAAAACAAATGTGTGTGGAAGAAGGCAGACACTGATGTGATGCAAGTTTACTTTTTCTAAATACATTTAAAAAATAGCAATAAGCAATAGCTGCTCTCTACCATCACAATCCCTTGAATAACAAAAACTATTTTAACAGTCCCCTGAAAAAAAGGAGGAATGATACGTTCAAAATACTCACACAGACCCTCCCTTAGCCACCCCCTGTAACAGGGATTGAACTTAGGACCTTGAGCTTGTGAGGCAGGGGTGGGGCCACTGAGATAAATCCCTGGCCCTGATATATTCAAAACAAAGAAAAATTTTTCAAATAAATACATCTACCAAAAAAACATCCAAAACAAACAAATTCTGTTCTTTTACTTCCACTTTTATTTTAGGAGGGGTGGTACCAAGGATTGAACTCATGACCCTGTGCTTGCAAGGCAGGCACGGCACCACTGAGCGAAATCCCTGGCTCTCTCTCCTTTTGACTAATTAAAATTTCACCTTAAAGTGATGTGAGGAGCACTTCTTAAGAGGGAATAACCCTAGTTTGAGTACAATCAGTCACACTATGCATGTTCTTGGCAAACTGGCCCCTGGGTTCCTCTTTTATAAAATGGGAGCACTACTGCCTCTCCTACCTAAAGCAGTATTATAAAATGTAATATAGTATCTTGTAAATTCTTAGAAATATAACACCCAAGATATTTATAACAGAAATTTAGACAACACTAATTCCAATGTAATTAACAAAACCAAACAGGCAAGTGGATGTGTTTAATTATATAATGCAGAAAAGTATGCATACATAATGTAAATTTTTTTCACATTTTTATGTATTTTCAGAAACAAGTTTCATTTAGGCTTAAAAGAATACTTAAATTTCATCTACTTCAAGAAAAACACAATCTGGGGTGTGTGTTGTGGTAAAAATTCTTTTATCCACTGGGATTCGAGGCACTATCAAAAAAAGAAACAACAAAACCCAAAAACAACAAAAAATAAAACCAGAAAGACTCATCTAAAGGCAAATATAGAATTAATCATGCACTTAACATAATTAAAAAGGAATAAAATCTCTATATGAAACGGTAAAAATCTCATTTTGGGGCCAGGTCTTCAAGCAGCCAAAGCATCATTTAATGACAATAATTTTCATAATTACATTTTAATCAAGTCCAAATATGATGCCTACTAAAGTTAATTCCAGCAGAGATAAAGTCTGTGTACACTGAATAACTAGTTTCCTCATCACAAAAACTCTAATAATTAAAATAGGAGTAAGTAACAGGTTTAATGCTATTTATGGTTATACCTAACTACACAAATAACAGGGATTTGAAATGCTACTTAGTAATGGATGTTCTTATTAAGCTGGTAAATCAGTTTTGCTCTGAGCTAAAAATGTTTATAGAGTTTAGGAGCCATCCTGGAAGCTCAAGCAATCTTTTCATTCTTGGACTGCAGCCAACAGGCCTCTGTATCCCTGTGTGACTGCTGGTTTTGGGGTTTCATCTAAACGCAGGTCCTCCTACCTTACCTTCATAACCAGAGTGAATCTTTTCAACCAGTGCTAGACAGCAAGGATCTGGTTCTGGGTAGGCAGAGCTGTGTACATAAATCAAATAGGGGATGATTCGAAACAGGGAGTAATTCTTCTCTTGCTTTCTGTCTTCACATCTGCTGAAGAGATCAGAGATGGTTAGTGCTGGTCCTCAGGCACTGTGCTTGCCTGCTGTGAAACAGGCTGGGAAATACTTCATTGTCAATTCCCAAGACAGATATCCAGATCCAACATGTTTAAAACGCCTGTTTTCCACAGGAGTTTAACATTTCAGTACCTCCAATTATCTCTTGGAGTTCAAATGTTCAAGACTGAATTCCTGCTCCTCTCTTCCTACCCATCATGTCCTGCCCTCCTGCCATAGAGGATTCGGGACCATGAGTCCCCAGGAGGCCTTGGCACTGCCAGGGAAGCTCCCGCCTGCTGGCCCCCATCTTGCCCTACCCGTCCTCCCACTGCTCCACTTTTATGACTCTGCTTCCTCCGTCACCCCCAACTTCTCCCAGCCCTGCCTATAAGCACTCGTACCTGTCTCCCAGCTTCCTGCTCTTTCTGAGAATTTTCCAGGCCTGTCCAGTCCAAGGATTCTATATGTACTTATGATCTCAGAATGAGTTTCTAAAAGATAAAGTTCCCATTCACTTCCATCCTGCTCACAAGGCCCATCTTTGCCAGCGGGAATCCCTTTAGGGTGGCTGTGGTGCCTCGTAAGATTCTCCTGTGGTCTCCAGTGACCTCCCTTGTGTCATTGTGAGATGCCCCAGGCAGGTATTTGTCTAGGAATCCCTTGTTTCTAGCCACCGGAAGTGGCATTAATATTCAGAGGCCAAATCTGCACAGGAGGAGTGGTTGATGCTACAGCAGCGATGTCATTGCTTCTAGGAAGTGTCAGTGGACAGACCTAGGCAGTTTCACTTTTCAGACAGGAAGCAGAAAGTACACCATAAAGGGTCAGTCATGTTGCCTACTGTGTTGGAAGATTCTGTGGACCAGCAGAGGGCAGGGAGGACAGTGAAGGCCAGGTGAAGAGACACCTGGGCTGTAAGATCAATGAGGATGGGCACACGCGATTTGCTCCACAGAACTAGGGAGGAGAGTGGAGGAAATGGTGGTAGTGCAGATGGCACCAAACTGGTTACTAGCCTGCGGTTAGAATGCACTGGTTTCTTATACAATTTTGTCCATTTTTGTGTTATGCTAGAAAATTCTGAAGGAAGAAAGTTTTGATAAGTTCATTCAGAAGGCACAGCTTCTTCTTGTTCAGCCGCTTTATCTTTATTCTCTACCCTTACCTCTCTCCTCATTCCAGCCACACTGGACTCCTTTTCACTCCCACAGGCCCGGTGTCCCACCCCAGGGCCTTTGCACTTGTGGTTTCCTCTGCCTGGTGCACACTTCCTCAGACACTTCCCATCCTTCCAGCTCTTGTGTGGCTCATCCCCTCATCTCTTTCAGGTCTGGCTGCAATCAGGCTGATCTCTCATTGTGACTTAGATGCAACAAAATGCATGTGCAAATTCAACTGCTAGTGCCATTTTACTGAGGGGCTGTAGGTGTGGTGGTGCATCCCAGCACTTGGGAGGCTGAGGCAGGAGGATTATAAGTTTGACGTCAGTCTGAACTACATAAGGAGACCCTGTCTCAAATAAACAAAAAACCACCAGCACCACCACTATAAATCCCCAATGCACCTCTCTCCTTCATAAATCACCCAGCCTCAAGGACTCTGTCATAGCAATTAAAAAGGACTAAAACAGCCCAGAACTCAACAGTAATCTCTCCCGTAACCCAGAACTCTTCCTCAGCTTCACTGTTCTGTCTGCAGACCTTATCAGCAGCAGACACACATCCTCACGTTACAGATCTCTTCCTTTCAGAAATCAAGTACAGATGAAGGCAAGAACTGTTTTGGTGGCCACACTGTACTAGTGGCTGGCTCAGGAACAGGCTCTAAAAGTATTTATTACTACAACAAACACAGCACTTCCTGCAGGGCAGGCTCTGTTCTGAGGGCTCCATAAACAGCACACTTGAGAATGACCCAAGGGACTCCCACCTGCTCACCCTTCCCGAGGTGACCTCTTGCTCTGTGTCCAAATACTACCTGCTCGAATCTCCCCAATTCCCAGAGATATCTGACTCAGCTACCCCACATGCATTTCTCTCTTATCAAAATCCAGTTCTTGGAGCAGTTAGTATCTTCAATACCATATTAGCGATCACATTACCATAGTGCATTAAATTTTAAGATGGTAAAGGTGATTGGTGTAAATCCTGTAAGAAATCAGTAATACCTGTCACAGTCACTCCAATTCACTGTCTCTGGATCTTTAAAACCTTTCAATAAATATAAATATTTTGCTTTCTTTAAAGTTATTTAAAAACCCAAAATTGAAAGGTAGCCAACTGAAGAAAAAATATAGTCACTTAAAAGTGTACTTCATATCCAGTGCTTCTTGTGATTCTTATTTACCACCAGCATCAAGAATTCTTTCTCCATCTCTTTTCCTATTGAATTATTATCTTGTCTTCTCATGAATATGTTTCTTCTCAATTCAAATGAAAATTCCTTGTGGCAAGAACCAAGTCTTTTTTTTTTTTTTTTAAATCCACAAGAGAATCTAGCTAAATACAAAAGAACCAAAGTAAGTGCTGAATAAAAATCTCAGCTCAATGCACATTTCTGAGTTCCCAAGCTCCTCTACTTATCGGATCCTACAAAAAAAGGATTTCACCGGGACATATTCATACTGTGAATCTAGAAAAGAGAAAAAAATGTCACTCTATTCTTCCTAGGACAGCTCTTCCTCGGCCAGGCAATCTTGCACTACTACCAAGCTGAAGCCTACATACATCTTTTGTAAGAGTCGCTCTGATTGCAAGAGGGTCCTGTCCCTTACCCTGACGGCTTCTCACTGTCCGCAGCCATTAGGCAAGGCAGTGCTGGACGTGCACTTTCCTTTTGGACCTCTGTGCTCTTCCCGGCACCCTTAACTGACCACACTCACTATTTCAAAGGTTGCTATAATCACCCTTTTGACATATTCACCCTATTCCACTGTAATGAGTCTGGACATTTCCAAATAATTGGAAATTTAGACTATTTCCAGCTTTTAGCTCCATGATGCATGAATTTCTGAGTTTTTTTCCCCTTTACTTTAAATTCTTTCCTTGGATAAATTTCTAAAAGATGAATCTTGGCTTAAATGATATGATCACTTTATTATTTCTCGTCATGCATTGCTAAACTCCAAAAACAATGTACTAATTTAGTGTCACCATATTTTCTCTCACTATTTTTGCACAACAACCCTCATGTCAATGGTTTGTATCAACTTTACTAATTTACTACATGGCAGTTTAGAAATAAATTTCCCTATCTTAGGGTCAAATGAAGGACCAGTGTTTGTATTTCCTCTGGTAGGGCTCCCTGAAAATACATTTTCGGTGCATCTGTACACTGGAATGAAAACTCCTGTGATAGGAACCACTGAAAACTGTCAAAAGTCTGATAAATAGGGGAGTTCTCGGGCTGGATCACAGCTCATGCGCCGTTCTTTTCCTGACTGGCAGGAATGACAGAT